GTGACTCAAAATAAGGTGTTAATTTTACTCACTATAAAGGGTAAAAGGATTTACCTTACTCAGCGAGTAATTTACCCACATGTTTTGATCATAGTCATTTTACTCAGAACATTGAGTTGTTATAACTCTCTCTGAGGGGTAAAAAAAGCTAACTCATACTGTGAGTAATTTTACTCAATAAAATGAGTAAAATGAGACACTTTACTCAAAACTGAGTTACGTTAACTCATTTGTAAAAATGCTTTTTTTACTGTAATAATCATCTCAGGAGAATAAACGAGACTTATCCCAAATGAAAGCTTCTCTATATATTTACCTTTCCAAAGATGTCTTGCCGGACATTCTGAGTGGTAGCTTTGTGGTAGACATTAGACTTTGAAGATACGCTATTGGAAGCGCCGACTGCCACCATTTTTTTTTTTCTTAGCCGGGCATCCCAAGAAAAAGAAAACATACAAGTAAACAACTTCAAGCACCTTTACTGAAGCCAACGTATATTTTCAATGTAAGGGTGCTGCGGGGGGCCGTTAGATTTTAAGTCTCTGAAAAAGTTTGTTATCATGGATGCTTTTTGTTTGTCATTTTTGAATTAACACATTTTACAAAGACAAATACATTAACTGTATTTTGCAATACTATACAATTGACACGATTTTCAAGTTGTTCAAAAACCTCACGGCACCGCGGTGTTTTATCCATAGCCTAACTCAAATACTTCTTTTTGTGTTCAAGACATTACTTAAATAGCCTTGTTGCTTCTAACTTCAGTGTTCCCTTTTCTCAGGCGTCTTCCATTTTGTCAGAGGTGAAAAAAGAGGATGAGAGAAAAAGAGGAGATTTACTGAAGTTATACGTAGAGACTGAAAAGTATATGTCGAACGACATATCTCTCACCCTGCTACAAAAGAAGATTAAAAATGTGATAGAAGAGTTTGAAAAGCACAAAATGGAACTTTCAAGGAAGGAATACTTCGTTCTTGTGGCAGGTAAGAACCAGTAAGATTCATATTCTTCATCCTTGGTGGAAAAGCATAAAAAATGCCTTCATCGGGGTACATGGTAAGAAGGAAGGGAAGGTTACTGTCCTCTTCAAGTTGGGTTTTCAGTATTTCTATACAATTTAGCACCTTCAAATAGCCTGCGGTGATTACACTCTACGAGGCGATGCAGTGGCATCCTAACAAGCGGCCAACCTCGGAGATTTAAAGACAAGTAGGCTGGCCGCTTAACACAGGGTCACTTAAAAACAACGCATCTGGCTAGCAACAAACCCGCGACAAACAAAACAGCATGCCGACTTCGGGAGCTGTAGTTTAAGAAGGACAGAGTGTTGCACAGACTCCTTGTTTCGCTAGGTACCTGTATAAGGTCTCCTCTTTATCAAATCCAAGATAATATTACTTTCCTCATATCTAAGTCGTTTCTTCTTAAGTATAAGTAACTTTCTTCCGCGTCTCTACGTTTAAATGAATTAAAACACCAACCATTCAGGCCAGCTTACTTTTAGTTTGAAAACTTATCAATGTAGGGAATCAGGGGAACGATCTCCTGCCAACTCTAAAACTCGCTTGATTGCAATAGCCCTTACTTATTTTATTAAGCGGTAAAGATTCATCTTAAACAAAACAGATACAGATTTGATAACTGAAAAATCTTTATCTCAATCCGGACAGATTATTGAAAAACCGAAATCTCCTCTCTTTTTTGGTCTCCAAAAGCTGACTTTTCAGCCTTTGGTGACCAAGACGGGAATTTCTCCTGAGTGACTCTCTCCCGTTTACAGTCTTATAGCCGCCATTATCGCCTTCAAACTAGGAAGTACCCGCGATTTCTTAAGATAGCGTGTGTGGTTCAGTATGACAGACCTCTAATGTTCCCTGCTATGGGTGTGTTTTCAGCAAAGGGACTTGAAATAATCGCCATTGTGCGAGCAATCTCTTGGCGAACCAGAAGCGCTATATATTTTATTTAAAAGCACCGTTTCAGAAAGTTGATTTTGCACGCAAAGGAGCTTACATTCGCACACGACTAAGCTCTGCAGTAAGGTCCTGAACACCTGAGCTGGCCAGGTTGGCCCGCATTCTGGGTCCAAGGTGACTTTTATCTCGGTATAACAGGGCTGGCCTGACAAGGCTGATTACAGAGGGTGCGAAACAGAAATGCTATTTTCTGGCATTTTTCTGTCCGCTGATGACCCGGTGGCACATTAACTCAGTATTACTTTGTGCAAAAGGCACCAGGGCAGTACCCTACAAACAGAAAGCGTCAGCCAAAGAGCTCAATGAATAATTGGTCTTCTAATATTAGCAAGTTTTCTGTGTTCGGAAAAGGAAAATACTGTTTTCCCGGACCCAAAAGACCGTCAAGTTAAACATTACTACCCAAATAATAAAATTGTGACTCTTAGCATTGCATCTGGCCAAAAAGAGTTTCTGAGGCTTCAAAGAAATCAGCAATCTTTCTTTTTAAGGACATGGAGTTTGCACTTACGAGAAATCGTTTTTGTAACTGATGTTGAAGTTTTAACTCAGCATAATTGAGACTTTTTTAATAGAAAGGCCTGTTTAAACACGAGCTTAAAAGCTCGTGTTTAAACCTGTCTTTCTGAAATAGTTTCGGCAGTTTCATTTCTTAAAAGCATTGAATATCTTTATGAGGCTTTTGAAATACGCGAAAAAGGTACGTCTTCGAAAAAGGTAACATTGAGGGACGAGACTGAAAGGATGTCGACAAAATCTGTGTCGAGGTACAAAAAACTTCTGACAACGCAGGTGGAAAACCTACACGCGGTTTCTCACTTCAACACAAAACATTTAGTGCTTTGCACTACGCCCAACTCACTCACTGAGCTTTAGAACCACAGTAAAGGAATCTCTTAAAAAAACTACGAGTTCGAAGTGGGCTACACTCACGAAAAGTCGAATTGTCTGGCGTGTCAAATACTTCATGTCTTTGTCAGCACTCTCAACCATGTCTTTCCCATCGGTGCAAACGGTGATTGAATTAACCAATTGAATTCCAAAAATAAAAGTTCAGTTGTGTTATTTAAGACTATATTTTGGCATTGATAATGTTTGTCGTAGTCGTGTTGCAATGGATTGCAAGGATTAAAAATAGATTGAAACTTAGGCCAACAAGATACAGGACATACAGCAACCAGATTATAAGTATAAGACTGATTCGATCAGATAATGAAAGTGCCGAAGAAGGTGACTTTGAAGTAGTTTATGGCAAGACATGCATGACCATGTCGGAAAGATCAGTACGAGATCATGACTGGCGCGTCTGGATCTGTAAGGCTGGTGTCATACGACTTATATTTTCAGTTGCTAATAAATTGTACAGTCAAACCTCTTCAATACGGACACCACAGGGACAGAACCAATTGTCCGGTTTACAGAGGTGTCCGTATTATAGAGGTAGGAAATGTATCATTTTTGGCATTTGTGGGACCAAACGAACTGTTCGTAGTAGTGAGGTGTCCGTATTATAGCGGTGTCCGTAAGAAGAGCATAGACTGTACCAGTGGCAGCGGTCATGTAAATTTATACCTTGATTTTAGTAGGGCCTACCGCCAAAAGTGATTGACTTGCTGAAGGAATAAAAATTCGCCGATAATATTCCTTGTAGGAAAGTGAAAGTTAATAGCTAACCAAAATTAGTAGTTAACTGAGAATTGGCCAAAAAAAATAGTAGTTAACAGATATTTGGCCGAAAAAAAAGTACTTAACTGAGATTCGGGTACCCCCATTAGCACCCTCATTACAAGGAAAATTTCTAGACCGGTTAGTCGGTTGTCGTTTAATCATAAAGTTGATTTTTGTTCCGTTAAACTAACAGGCAGAGACGAATAAAAAAATACCTCTTCGGCAACAGACTGTAAGCAACACAGCCGAAGGGGAAAACTCTTCAAGTTAAATGTTGACTGCTTTAAAGAGCGATAAGGCGATTTTCAGCGGTCGTCGCTTCTCTCCCTCCGAAAAATAGCGTCTGCGAACCCGAGCGTCAAAACGATTTCCGTGACGTAAAACCTTTGTTTTGATGCTGGCCAATCAGATCAAAGGATAGAATACAGCTCGAGAGACTCCTGGCGACCTCGCGACCTCGCGCGCTGGAGTGTCTTGGATTCCGGCGAGAGTTACCAAATACGCTTTGGAACGTGAATTTCACGACCATAACAAGGTTTCCTACGACGTTGAATGCTGACTTCTTTGTGAAGCAACTACCTCTTAAGCTGTGTATGTGATGTGAACCTTTGGTTTCGCTTTGTAAAATACGCTAGTACGTGACAACAAAACTGGACAAAATAATCGCTACAGCGAAAGGAAAGTAACATGAAAGTAACATAGTCTAATGACATCGCGCTGAGACTTATTTATTTCAATTAAACCAGCGCTGACAAAAGGTGGTGAATCAGTTATATACAGACACATCCTTGACTGATTCAGAAATCTCTGACAATCGCTCGTCAATAATTCTAGTATCGCCCCAACACAGTGATCTGAAATATTATTAACCTGGGCCGAGTTGTTCAAAGCTGGGTTAAGATAACCCAGGGGTAGATCGAAATTTGAATTCAGATATAAAGTTTAAAAAGCAAATTCAGTTTAATTCTTTTTGTCAACAGTTGGACGGATTGGCTACTCTAAAAAGAATAGAGAAAATTGTCCGAGAAAATGCTTTTGATGAAAAAAAAAAAAAAGAGACCCGGGTAAAATTTAACCCCGGGTTAGCGCTAATTGGCCTTCGAACAACTGGACCCTGGGCCAGACCCAGCGTGAAATAAATAGTTACAGCAGCTTTCTTTAATTTTCCAGACATGTTTCGACGGTACATCCGTCATCTTCAGTGTTACATATTTTGAAATCGCCATTGAATTTAAAGCGCGCGCGATCTTACAAAGTTAGTTACATTGCGTTGTCAATATTGCGTACTAAAACAAAATTAAATGAGTGACGCTCAGTTATTTACAGGGAGAGGGTCAGGTTAATGCGTTTCACCTGCTGGTTGAGATCGGGCTTCTCCCATTTTATAAACATGGATTCCTTAAGCTTCACTTGGTACTTAGTGGCTACAGAGTCCAGGATCTCGAAGCAATCCGGTGTGCAGGATGCTCTACAAAACTCTGAACTCTGCAGATGTTTAAAAACGTTCGAAGACCTGTCTAAAAGTAAGTGCTCGCGCACTCGTGTGGAGAAGTGTCGGCTGGTTTCACCAACATAACAAGCATCACAACTTGCACACGAAAATTTATAGACCACACGCGTACGTAGCCCCTCAGGGACAGCATCTTTCACATTAAAAAGATTCCCGACTTTGAAAGTAGGAAAGACTAACCTTAAATCAATAGGTTTACATAACTTGTTAGCAAGTTTGCGTATACTCCTCTGTGCCGTGACTGAGAAGTGCCCAACGTAAGGGATTTTAAAGAAGAACTTAGGTGTTTCCTGGGGCTCGACTCCTGAATTGGGCTTTGTTTTCCCTCCCTTGACTGCTCTCTGAATATATTTAGAAATATATTTGTTGATAAGGTTCTCAGGGAAGAGATTCCTCAGCAGAATGAAAGACAATTTTTGAAGGTCAGTATGGAACCCCATCCAAGTGTTGTTTATCTTAAAAGTTCTATGAATCAAGGTTTTGATTAACCCCAATTTGTAGGTAAAGGAGCAAAAACTCAGATAACTGGTGAGCAGACCTGTGAAAGTCTTTTTCCGATAAACGGTGGTTACACTTTGGTGTGGGTCAGTTTTATTGATTAGAACATCTAGAAAAGGTAGAACATGGTCAGTTTCCCGCTCCATTGTAAAGCGTATATTGGGGTGTTGATTGTTGATGTAATTGAAGAAAAGGGTTGAATCCTGTTCAGAGTGGAAAAGGCAAAATGTATCGTCTACGTAGCGACGATAGAATAATGCCTCTGAATCCCCGTATTGATCCAACCATATATTCTCATGGTGACCCATAAAGAGATTGGCGAGAACAGGGGCAAGGGGGGACCCCATGGTTACACCATCCACCTGATCATAGAAGTTACCTTTGAACAGGAAGTGAGTTTCCTTGGTAGCAAACTCAAACAGCCTTTTAAGCTCATTTTTACTAAGTTTCAACCCTGGATTACCCTCAGTAATATATGTGAGGGCAAGGTTAATACAATCATCTAGAGGGAGGTTGGTGCAGAGGCTTTCAACATCGAAGGAGACCATAAACATCCCATGCAAAGATAGATCATTGATTTCCTTCACAAAAGTGAAGGAATCTGAAGCAATGAATGTGGACAGAATATGAGGTTGGAGGAGATTACTTAAGTATTTGGCCAAGCTGTAGTTGTAGGTACCTATGGAGGAAACTATGGCCATGATCAAAGGAATTGAAATTGAGTACAATGGATCTCAGGAAATAAAATTATCTCAGTATGCGGATGACACGACAGCGCTCTTGAGTGATAGTGAGTCCGTCATGCAGTTATTTGAACTGCTAGGCCTTTTTGAGAGATGTTCTGGCCTTAAAATAAACGAATCAAAATCGGAACTTTTATGGCTTGGTTCATGGCGCCATAGGAAAGATAAAATTTTAAATTTACAAATTAGTAAGGAGCCTGTCTACGCGCTTGGTGTTCATTTTGCGTACGAATGTGACATGGTTCTACAGAGGAACTTCTGGGATAAGTTAATTTCCTTAAAAAAAATGTTAAACATATGGTCTTAAAGGGACATTTCTGTTTACGGCAAAATAAATCTAGTGAAATCCCTCGCGCTCTCCAAACTGGTATTTATCTGCAGTGTAATGGAAACTCCAAAACTTTTTTTTGATGAAGTAAACAAAATAGTATTAGATTTTATTTGGGGCCACAAACCACCTAAGATAAAATACACTACGCTCATCAAAACAAGGCGAGAGGGAGGCTTAGAGATGAAAGACTTTGCTTTATTTAACAAGGCTTTAAATAAAGTTGAATTGGGTTAAGCGACTTTGCTCAAACTCAGACGCTCCGTGGCAGTACATCCCGAAGTCCCTCCTAGCGAATGTTGGGGGCCCAGAGCTTTTCAAATGTAACCATGACATCGGTCACCTCAGTCTAAGCAAATGCCTTCCAGCTTTTTATCACGAAATAGTCACATTTTGGCAAGACGTAATAGCTTCCAACCCAAAAAGTAAAAATGATGTTCTTGAACAGATAGTTTGGAATAATAAGTTTATTAAGTCTGATAAGAAATCTATGTACTTGCAGCATTGGCGTCACGCAGGAATTCTCAAAATTAACGACTTCTTTGATACACAGCAAAACTACTTTCCGTCCTTCGACTCTTTTCGTAATAAATTTAACGTAAGATGTAATTTCTTACAGTACTTTAGCCTTGTTAACGCCATCCCTCAAAGTTGGAAAGAACTCCTTAATTGCTCCCTCGAACAAAGCTGAACACCGCAAATATTAATAGACTGAGGAAATGACTTGCAAAAAAATTTATACTAAGCTGCTGTCTCTTAGATCAAAGCCTCCGCCGCCTTGTGAGAAAAGACTCTTAAATTTTGGCTTCCAGAAGGATGATTTGAGAAAATTATACCTATTGCCTTGTGAAGTAACAAAAGAAGTAAAACTATCAATGTTCCAGTACAAAATTATTCACAATATTCTTTGCACTAAGAGCTTATTATTTCAAATGACTTCCCACGCTGCCCTTTTTGTCCAGCAGATCACACCATCATTCATCTTTTCACTGAGTGCGCTCAAGCCACGTTGTTCTGGAAGGAGTTTCTGGATTGGGCCTCGCGCATGGTGAACTCAAAATTATCGCTTTTAATAAAAGAAATTATGTTTGGCATTATTAATAACGATTCTAAATTCTGTTTAGCCCTCAATCATTTAGTCATTTTAGGAAAGTATTTTCTTTACGTAAAAGCTCTTAACGGTAAATTTTACATCTTTAATGAATTTGTTTCCCTAGCTCGTGACAAAATTAGTCTAGAAAAATATATTTCTTGTACGACTGGTCGCGAAAAAGATTTCAGAACAAAATGGTCTGTTTCTTCGTCTCTTTTAAAAACGGTGTGAAATTCTGTTTACTTAGCTGATTGCGCTCCCATTTAGGTATCACTAATGCCTTTTTTATTGTGTTAGGTTTTTTGTCAGCTTCAAGTAGTAGTTTTCGTTTTGTTGTAGATTGTCTTTTGTGAATATTAACTGTACGTGTGTATGTTCAATAAAGTTGTAATGGAAAAGAAAAAAAAAAAGATATCTACTAAAAAATATCTAAAGCGGTACACGACAAACTATCGGAGAGTTCTCCAAAGCATACTTTCCTGCCAGGAACCAGAAAGGAACAGAAGCAACAAACAGCATGATGCGTCTACTGTCATTAGGACATTTATCGTTTCCAATATGATCAAAACAACTAGGTGTGATAAATCGTTGACTCCGTAGGCAAATAGATAAAAAAATGTCCCCTAATCTTTTCTTCAATATGTATCCTCTTGATGCTTATTTCATCAATCCGTCCCACAATCCTGTAAACGCGTCGTTCTGAGAAAAAAAGGCGGCTAAACACAAGCTACGTCGTCCTTTCAATTAGACTCGTAAACATATCCCCCGCGCACGATCTTGCGAGAAGTCTCGCGAGTTAGTTTCTTGATTTTAAGAGTTAAAACGTGATTGGCTAAAAAGGTTTTGCGTCACTAAAATCGTTTTGCTGCTCCGGCTCGCAGACGCTATTTTCGGAGTGAGAGAAGCGACGACCGGAAATGCATCTGCTGTTCGCAGGCTACAGAGAAAGAGGCCAAATTTTCGTCTTAACGAATAATATTATGAGGGCCAGGATTACCGCTCTAAGGCGCATCAATGAAAACAGTGTCCCGCTTTTTAAATGTTAACGGACACTATAATAATTAAAAGATTAAGTCGAGCGAGTATAAACGGAGTCCAAAAGTACTTTGAGTCTTTGATCCAACACAACTAAGTCTCTCAACGATCTCCCAGGCTACAGGTGTAAAATTGGTATCTTTGTATAGATTGTTTACAACTTCACTAATTAACCTTTTCACCAAATGGTGAACTCTATTTTCATTTTTTATGTTAAATATACGCCTTCAGAAATAGCGATAAAAGAAACTACTGCGATATAAATGTTGGCAAAGAGGTACAAGCCTTGTGTGATACCAAATGAGTTAAAAACCTGCGTTTTCAAGGCCAGACAAAACGGAATTCTCGAGGTGAACATGGTTCACCATAGTAAATTCAATTAAGAGGTTCGCAAGTTTCTTTAAGCGAACAACCGCTTCACCATGATGCAAGTCTGAATAACTTGTCTGTCATGTATCAAAGCGTATTGAACCTAGGCAATTTCAATTAGCTGTTAAACAGTTAATTCCTTTTCTTTCTCGTTCCACTATATATACTGGAGATACGTTAGATAAATCTCAGGAAAGTATGTTGTACCGTTATGGTGTGAACTGTTGATTCGTGTCACCATCGCCACACAGCCTATACTATAAATACAAGCCGAAGATAAATTAACAGTCCGGGTCACAACCACCTCTGGATACTCGATGACGTCATCAATAATGGCTTCTGGTGGCGACTCCAAGGAACTCATTTACGACTCTTATTTGAGACCTAGCGGATTTTGTCCTCAGTTATATTCCATGAAACCTTGTGGTATTAAAAACAAAGAGTTACTAAACACAGACAGAAATAGGTGAGAGCTTCGGTTGTGATTGGAGGGAAAAAATCTTTGGAAAAATCGAGCAAAGAGGTTTTCTGCGAGGGTGCCGATTAAGGAGTCGCCTCTCTTAAGTTATCGTTTTCTGCAGGTATGTAGCATTTTTTGGTTTCTACAAGAAATGTTTTCGAAAACTAGAATAAATTGGCTTTCGAGTGCCCAAGCCTTACGTTCGAGTGCTCGGACGTTTAAAGTCTGCTTCGTGGAACAAATTAGGCGCTGCTCCCCTTTGTTCAGAGCTGTCAGAGAGTTTTGTAATCCTTACTTTGGGACTGTTTGTGTTGCAAAGTGTTAAAAAGTTTTGTTATTTATTGAATTTAAAATCCTGATAACATGACCTGGTATACCGTAGTTTTGAAAACTGCATTTATAACACATAAGCTTACATGTATGCTCGTATTGTTGAGATTCCAGGCAGGAATGAAAGAACTGCAAATTCAATATCTCCTTAAACTTTGTGACCCTTTGTCGTCTTCGTGGAAAAAATCTGATGCGGAGCAGGGTAGTGCCTTGTCATGTTTTGATTATTCTCTTCCTAGCGGGTAGATTACACAGTGGAGGATTCCAGACTTTTCAAACTGAGCAATCTTACCATGGCTGCTTGTCTCACATTTAGAGGCCATTTTCTGTCCTTTCTTTTTTTCACAGGAATTGATCTCTGATGATTTCCTGCTATGCTTTGTCACGCGTTGTTTTCAGGATGTTCCATTTTGACGGATAGTGATTTACTTACCCGAATGAACATGGTAATATACAGATTCAGCCAGGGCTAAAAGCGAAGCTCCCATTAATAAATTTATAACTTAAATGAAACAATAAACTTGTATTCCAAAATTCAGATAACTTTACAGCACATTCATGTGACTTATGGAGGAAAGGCTAAGGAAAATATTTTGCAAAGAACCGCCAAGAGTGAACCAAATCTTACATCAAGTTTACAGCCTCATATGTACACCCCCAAAATAGCAACCATCTTCGATCACATTTAAGAGCCATAATGGGCAGGCTCATGATCACCGTAGATTAATTAGGCCTGGAAACAAAATCTTTGCGTTCGAATTCGAATTCGAAGAATTCTTTGCGTTCGACAAGTTTACTTTACAAAATCTTGCCAACAAATCTGGGTGAGTGAAAACAAACCTTTTTACCATTTGTACATCACATCTGAGGTGAAACCGTGCTATGAGGCACTGTTTTTATCATACAGATCTCTGACAGAATGCAGTATTTCACAATTTTGCAATACAAATTACACTCATTCAATATTCAGAACGATCGAAGCACACCTGGGCTTTTAGCTAAACTGTTAAAATAATTTCCAACATCACCTATACGGCCAGCTGGTTCTCGCTTTTGCAGCTCATGAGCTGTGGTCGACTGTTGACTGTTTAAGGGGCCTCTTCATATGAGCCCGGTTGACCGGGCTGGCTCGGTTACCGGGATGAATTGTGCCTTGGGTTCATATGAGAAATTTCAGCCCGGTTTCCGAGATGAGAAAAAGGTCAAAGATCCTGGGGACGAGTTCTGGCGCTAAATTCGGGAAACAAAGCAAATATAACTTTCGGGCCTATCTTTAAGCATCGGTAATTCTTAAAGCTGTATCACTGCAGTTAAATGGGATGCTTATGATATGTAAAATACAG